CCCCCCGGTGACGTCATCTCGCGACAGAGCGGGCGCGGTCCGCGCAGACCACGCCCACAAAGGGGCGGAGCCGAGCGATAAACAAAAGGCGGGGTTTATTTGGGATGAACCGAAGGGGCGGGGCTTGCAGAGCGGGGGCGTGGCCAGAGCGGGTGGGCGGGGCTAATCCGAGTCCGAGAGCACGATGATCTCCTCGGGGTCGCACTGGGTCCCCACGCTGGTCTGGGAGGGGGGAATGCGGGAAATTTGGGGAAATTCCCCCCAGAATTCCCAAATTTCCCCCCAAATCCTCCCACAATTCCCAAATTTCCCCCCAAATCCTCCCACAATTCCCAAATTCCCCCAAAATTCCCCAATCCCCAGTCCCCACCCTGCGCCGCCGTGGCCTCTCTTCCTTCCTCCTCCTCTTCCTCCTCCGTCTCCTCTTCCTCCTTGACCTTCACCCGCCCTTCGGCCTCGGAGGACTCTGCTTCCTCCTCCTCCTCCTCCTCCTCCTCCTCCTCTTCCTCGTCTTCTTCCTCCTCCTCATCTTCCTCTTCTTCTTCATCCTCCTCTTCTTCCTCCTCGTCCTTCCTCTGTGGATGAAGAATTTTTATTGGGGGGTTTCGTTTCCCAGCCTTCCTCCTCCTCTTCCTCCTCCTCCTTTTCTTCCTCTTCCTCCTTTTCCTGCTCTTCCTCCTTCACTTCCTTCTCCTTTCCCCAGCCTTCCTCCTCCTCTTCCTCCTCTTCATCTTCCTCTTCCCACTTCTCTTATTCCTCTCTTCCTCCTCCTCTTTCTCCTTTTCCCACCCTTCCTCTTCCTCCCCCAGCTCTTCCTCCTTTCCCCAGCCTTCCTCCTCCTCCTCCTTTTCCCACTTTTTCCTCTCCTCCTCTTCCTCCTCCTCTCTTTCCTGCCCTTCCTCCTCCTCTTCCTCCTTTCCCTGCCCTTCCTCCTCTTTCTCTGCCTTTTCCCACCCTTCCTCTTCCTCCTCCTCTTCCTCCCCCCGTTCTTCCTCCTTTCCCTGCCCTTTTCCTTCTGCTCTTCTTCCTCCTTTTCCTTTCCCACCCTTCCTCTTCCTCCTCCCTTCCCTGCCCTTCCTCCTCCATTTCCCCTCCTCCTCCTCCTCCCCCACCTGCCCTTCCTCCTTCTCTTTCTCCTCATCTTCCTCCTTTCCCTCTTTCCTCCTCCTCCATTTCCTGCTCTTCCTCCTCTTTTCTGTGCTCTTCCTCCTCCCTTTCCTCCTCCTCTTCCTCCTCCCTTCCCTGCCCTTCCTTTTTCTCCTCCTCCTTTGCTTGTCCTTCCTCATCTTCCTCTTCCTCCTCCTTTTCCTGCCTTCCATCCTCCTGTTCTTCCTCATCCTCCTCCTCCTCCTCTTCCTCAGTTTCCTCCTTCTTTTCTTCCTCCTCCTCCTCCTCCTCCTCCCCATTTCCCATCCCCCTCCCCACCTTTGCTCTAGGGCCCTGTTCCCATTTCCCACCTTGGTTCCCATTCCCATTCCTGTTCCCATTCCCATTCCTGTTCCCATTTCCCATTCCCGGTTCCTGTTCCCATTTCCCATTCCCATTCCCATTTCCCATTCCCATTTCCTGTTCCCATTTCCATTTCCCATTCCCCGTTCCCATTCCCATTTCCCATTCCCATTCCCATTTCCCATTCCCCATTCCCATTTCCATTTCCATTTTCCCATTTCCCATTTCCTGTTCCCATTTCCCATTCCCCGTTCCCATTCCCATTTCCCATTCCCATTCCCATTTCCCATTCCCCATCCCCCGTTCCCCATTCCCATCTCCCGTTCCCCGTTCCGTACCCTGTTCCCGCCCTTCCGGGGCCATTCCCATCTTTCATCTCCCATTCCCCATTCCCATTTCCCATTCCCATTTCCCGTTCCTGTTCCCACCCCATTCCCATCTCCCGTTCCCCGTTCCGTACCCTGTTCCCGCCCTTCCGGGGCCATTCCCATCTTTCATCTCCCATTCCCCATTCCCCATTCCCCTTTCCCGTTCCCCATTCCCGTTCCCGTTCCCGCTCCGCACCCTGCTCCCGCCCTTCTGGGGCCATTCCCATTCCCATTCCCTATTCCCCATTCCCGTTCCCCACTCCCGTTCCCGTTCCCGTTCCGTACCCTGCTCCCGCCCTTCTGGGGCCATTCCCCATTCCCATTCCTGTTCCTATCTCCCATTCCCATTCCCATTCCCGTTCCCATCTCCCGTTCCCGTTCCCGTTCCGTACCCTGCTCCCGCCCTTCCAGGGCCGTTCCCCATTCCCTGTTCCTGTTCCTATCTCCCATTCCCCATTCCCCATTCCCCATTCCCGTTCCCCGTTCCCCATTCCCATTCCCCATTCCCGTTCCCTATTCCCCATTCCCATTCCCATTCCCATTCCCCATTCCCACTCCCATTCCCCATCCCCACTCCCATTCCCATTCCCGTCCCCATTCCCGTTCCCGTTCCCGCTCCAGTCCCGTCCTGCTCTCCCATCCCGTTCCGGTTCTGTCCCGTGTCCCGTTCCCCTCTCCCATCCCATTCCCGTGTCCCGTTCCCCTCTCCCATCCCATTCCCGTGTCCCGTTCC